GCACTCCAGTCTGGGCGACAGAGTGAGACTCCAACTCAAAAAAATAAAAAAAAATAAAATAAAAAATGCATGTGTCTGGGCACGGTGGCTCAGCCTGTAATCCCTGCACTTTGGGAGGCCAAGGCGAGTGGATTGCTTGAGCCCACGGGTTCGAGACCAGCCCAAGCAGCTTGGCAAGACCTCGTCTCTACAATTAAATAAAAAACTAGCTGGGCAATGTGCGTACGCCTGTAGTTCCAGCTACTCATTTCTGCTGAGGCAGAAGGATCACCTGAGCCCAGCAGGTCGACACTGGGGTGGCCATGAGCGTGCTACGGCACTCCAGCCTGGGCGACAGAGTAAAATCTTGACTCAAAACAAAACAAAACAAACAAACCAAAAAACCCCAGAAAACCATAAAAGGTCTTAGAGAAATTTATGAGAGAGGCTGTTATAATTTTAGAGTGAGAGGTTTCTCTAAAAAAGACAAAAAGTTAAAAAGTTATACAAGATTGATAAATGATCTGCCTAAAACTAATTTTTTTTTTTTTTTTTTTTTGAGTTGGAGTTTCACTCTGTCGCCCAGACTGGAGTGCAGTGGCCGCTCCCGGCCACCACAGCCTCGACTTGCTGGGCTCTGGCAATCCTTCCGCCTCAGCCTTCCAAGTAGCTGGAACTACAGGCGCACGCTACCATACCCGGCTATAATTTTTTTTTTTAAGTTGGCATCTGACTTTGTCACTCAGGCTGCAGTACAGTGGCACAGTCACAGGTTACCAGAGCCTTGACCTGCTGGGCTCAGACAATCCTTCTGCATCAGCCTTCCAAATACCTGGAACCACAGGCACGTGCCACCATGCCTGGCTAATTTTTTGAATTTATTGTAGAGATGAGGTCTCGCCAAGTTGCTCAGGCTGGTCTCAAACTCCTGGGATCAGGCAATCCTCTCACTTCTGTCTCCCAAAGAACTGGTATTACAGGCATGAGCCACCAAACCTGACTTAAAAACAATTTTAAAACACTCAGCATGGGGGAAAAAACAAACAAAAAACACCAGCAAAAATCTTGTAAATAAAATCAAAACATAAATGACAAACTGGAAGATGTATTTGCAATTCATATCAGAGACAAAGGGCTGATTTCCTTAATATACAAAAAGAGCTCTCATATATCAATAAAAAAAGATGAACGAACCTAAAGGATAAAAGAACAAATGACAAGTGCATAGTGCAATCTGAAAAGGAAACATAGAAGGCCTTGAAAAGCTGGTCTGTGTCCCGAGGGTGCTGGGACCTCATGGCAGGCTGCAGCATCCCCTCACCTCATACTTCTCAAAGTAGACATTGCCCAGGTGCAGGATGGAGGCCAGGATACGGAAGATGCTGTCCTGGTCCTCGCTGCTGAAGCCTAGCACTTCCATGGCAGCCAGGAGCCGGCGGAAGTCATCTGCATCGCTCTTCCCTGTGATCTCACAGTTCCCACCCTGGGTAACGGTAGAGATTGGGGGTCAGGTACCCTGTGATAGGGACTGGGAACCCTCAAGGTCCCTGCCCTGACCAGCGGTGTGGTCCGAGTTGGTCACTCAAGTTTTCATGGGCCTGGAGGCTCCGAGCGGGGCTGAAGACAGGTTCGCAGATTCTAAGTGCAAGCGTGGTGGGGGTATTACCTGTTAACCTCTGCATCAGCCCCCTAACAACACTAAGGAAAAGAGCAGCCAGTGTTTACTGAGCGTGTACTACATGCCAGGCCCTGTGCTAAAATCCCTGCATGCATTTCCTCATCTGAGTCTTATTACATCCCTATAAGATGGTCCATGTGGTCCCCATTTTACAGATAAGGAAACTGAGGCACAAGCAGGGGAAGTGTAGTAGCTCTAGGCTGGTTGGTTCTGTTCCAAGATCCTACCCCCCTTTGGAACCCGAAGACTCTTGTCCCCTTTGCCATGATGAGATGCCTTAAATCCAAACTCTCACCCTTCCCAAACCTCCATCCCTTTTTGCTGACCATTAAGACCCTACCACTCAGCTCCCTTGGCCCACCCAGGGGTGATGGGGTGGGAAGACCAGGCCTGGGGGTCCTCAGGTGGCTGCTGGGGCTCACCTGGTTCAGGTAGTAGTAGGTCTCGGCCTCCTGCAGGCTGAAGGCCTGTCGAAGCTGGGCAGGCAGCCCAGCCAGCAGCTCATAGAAGATGTGGTAATTCCTCTCATTTTTGGCCTGTAGAGTGGGTAGGTGGGTGCAGAGAAGGGAGCCGCCCACCTCGGTGGCCCCCAGACACACATTCGGGCCCAGTGTACCCGCAAATACAAACACACACAAGGGCCTTCAGATGAGACCGTGCACCTCTGATGGGTGAGGCTTCCAACTCAGCGCCAGTTGGGGGAGAGGGCAGGAGCTGAGAAGCCTTGGCATGACTGGGGCCTGAGAGGGCTCTGTGGGATTTTTTGCTTGGAGAAATAAGAGAATGGGGGCCCACCTTCTGTCATGGACACCAGCCACACACACCCACGTACATGTGTGTCCACAGCCCAGATGTACACACACGGGGCCTCCTGAGGGGGGAACACTTCCTGTGCACCGGGCCCTGTCCTAGGCCCTTGCAACAGAGGAAACAAGGCAGACAGAAGCCCCTGAATTCATGGAGCCCACCTGCTAGCTGAGGAGGCAGACACTCAGTAAATCACTGGTTAAAACGTAAAAATAGGCTGAGCTTGGTGGCTCAGCCTGTAATCCCAGCACTTTGGGAGGCCAAGGCAAGTGAACTGCCTGAGCCCGCGGGTTCGGGATCAGCCCGGGTAACTTGGTAAAACCTCATCTCTACAATAAATTTTAAAAAGAATTAGCAGGGCGTGGTAGCATGTGCCTGTAGTTCCAGCTAGGTGGAAGGCTGAGGTGGAAGGATTCCCAGAGCCCAGCAAGTCGATGCTGGGGTGGCCGTGAGCGTGCCACTGCACTTTAGCCTGGGCGATGGAGTGAGACTCCAACTCAAAAAAAATCGACAGCAACATAAACTAGATCAGATGGCAAAAAGCACTCCAGAGAGAAATAAAGCAGTGGAGGGTGTGGGAGTTGTGGTGGGGTAGAGAGGGGCCTCATTTTTAAGTGGGGTGGCTTCCCTGAGTGGGCGAAATTGCAGGGGAGACTTGGAAAAGGCAAAGGGTTTGGCCAAGCAGGAGTCTGGGGGATACATGCTCCTGAAAGAAGGAACAGCAAGTGCAAAGGCTCTGAGGTGGGAGCATGCCTGGTGTGCTCTGGGACAGGGAGGAACCAATGTGGCTGCAGGGGAGGGGAGTGACCAGGTCACAGGCTCACATGTACACATATATTTATCCACTAACTAGACATCTACCCAGCCCCATCAGGCGCCAGACTCTGAGTATCTATACTACCCCCCGCCACCCTGCCCAACACACAGGCCCGGAAGGGGCCGGCCCACCTGAAACACAATCCTGGATTTCTCGAGCAGGTACTGGGAGGTTATGGCACCAGAGATCACGCCCCTGGGGTGGGGAGCACAGTCAGCTCACAGGGTGGGAGAGGTGGCTGGTGTTGGCTCTGAAGGCACGTGGAGCACACTGCAAGGCCACTGTCCCACTCACCCTTCCAGAAAGATCTCCACAAACTTCCCGAAACGGCTGGAGTTGTCGTTCCTGACAGTTTTGGCGTTACCGAAGGACTCCAGGAGGGGTGTTGCCTCCAGGATCTGGAAAGGAGATGTGGGAACTGGGAAGCTGGACCTTGTTCTGGGGGTCTGGGTGAGGGCATGGCTGGGGACAGCCAAACATAGGCCTCCCCAAGGACCACCTTTATGAAGGGCAACTGGGGTGGGCTCCCTGTAGATTTCTGGGGTCTCCCCAGTGTCTCCCAATCCCCTCATGCTGCTCAACTCCCACACGGCAAGCTCCATGCTTTCTCTCCCTCAGCCTTCTGGTCCCCCCATGGCTCCCTGGGGTGCCTCACACAGCAGTTTCTGACCACACGCCCCCAGCTGCAGCCCCAGCCCAGCACAGGCCTTTGGGTGCCTCTTTCCAGCCTGTCCTTCTGTCCACATAGGAGCATGCATGTCCACATGCACGATATGATGTCCACACACATTTTTCCAGGTATGCATGTACACACATGCACACACATACTTCGAGTACCTTTATCTTCAGGAGTGCCCAGGAGAGAGGAGAAGGAGAGAGGGACAAGAACAGAAGCAGGTCACCTCTCCTTGCAATGAGCCTCAGACCACAGAGGGACTGGCACAAACCATGAGCTTCAGAGACCCCAGGTATCTGGGCTTGCAGGCATGGGAGTCCACTGGGCCTGCCAATGTGCCCAGGGATGTCCCCTTCTCCATGCCCCCATGGATTCCTGACCCTCCTCCCTGACCTGCCCTTGTCCCCTCCCGGTGTTCACAATGCAGCCACCAGAGGGGTCCTCTGAAAAGCTGCGGCAGGTCATCTATCTTCTCCGGCCTCCACTTCACTTGGGGTCAGAGCCAGGCCGGCCCGGCCTCATTTGGCCTCCCTCATCTCCTCCTCTCTTCCATCGCTCATGCCATCCGGCCTTCCCTCCTCACTGTTCCAACACCCAGACCCACGCCTCCTCCGGACATTTGCATCTCTTGTTCCCTCTGCCTGGAAGCGGCTACTGTAATGTACCTGTGCCCCCCAACGCCCCACACCTCCAGAACTCTTCCCTCAGCCCAGTAGCAAACTCTCTCCTCTCCCTGAGTATCGTGTCTCTCCAAGGGCAGGAATCTAGGGTTTGCACACCCCTGAGTTCCAGTCTCTACGTGGGACTTGGAGCACAGCAGGCCCTCAAAAAACACCTGCTAAATGGATGAAAAAAGAATAGCATCCCACAAGCAGCACTACCCGTAGCTGATCACAGCCCCTACCTATGAAATGCCAGACACGCTGCTATTTTACAGATTAGGAAACCGAGACTTGGAGAGGTGAAGAGAAGTGCCTAGGGACTCCGGAGTCTGCGAGAGCGGGAACACACACAGCACCATGATGCACATGTACTTTGTGTATACATGGCACTTTCTTCAGCCAAGGCATTTTCGGAGGAGACTTTCTTAGGAAGAAGCAAGGGAGACCAAGTCACCACAGAAATAATACCTGTCGTCTAGGGGATGGTGCCAGTTCCCTCCATCCATTCACACCCACTGTCCCACTTAGTCTAGGAAATACTGTGCCCACTGTACAGAGGAGCAAATGGAGGCCCAGAGAGGGATAAGGCTGGTCTGTGGTTGTTCAGTGAGTCAAGGTCTGTCTAGGCTTTTCTTTGTTCTATCCTTTTGTCTTGGAGCCCCTTGAGGGCACTGAAGAGCCAGGTGATTGCTTCTTTGTTCCTGGTGTGCGGCACAGGGCGAGACACAATGCCAGGGGCCAGGGTGGGTGAACACAAAGGCATGGAGTGGCCCAGGTCTCAGCCAGTCAGCATACACCATTCCCCTTGCAATATGAGTGGTTCCAGTGAAGACACATAACCAAAACCTATCCAATGAGAGGGAGTCCCTGGGACTTTCTGAAATGCAGGGATGGCGGGGTTGGGGGTGGTGTGGCAGTGAGTGTATTACTATGGTGCCATCTTGCTGGCCAACGGGATTCAGGCTGAGGATGATGCCCATACATGGGGGAGAGTGGAGCCAAGACAAGGGACATTGTTTAAGGCCCTGGATCCAGCCATGCCTAAAACTGACCCTAGAACTGGACTATCTGATTACATGAGCAGGACAAAGGCATGGCTAGGAAAGATCATCACAGCTGGCAGGCATGTCCTCACGCCTACCGTGTGCCTGGCATGGAAACTACCAGACACAGTCACGTCCATGGCTCAACCCATCCTTCCTGACAGCTGCCATGAACTAAAAGTCCCAGGTCTTGCACCACCTCACTTTGCGTCATTAGACAAGTCATTTGCCTTCCCAGGCCTCAGTCTCCCCATCTGTAAATGGACACAAATGTACCGACCTCTCAAGAATGCCACGAGGCTCTGGTGTGACAGTAACTGAAGGCAGCCAGCACCATTCCTGCCCAAAGAGGAGCTCGAGGCACACTTATTTATTTCCCCGCCTACCTAGCCAGTCCTTCCAGAAGTTTGACCTGAAAGGTCTTGAAAACTCTGCCTGGAGCAAAGAGATGACCTGGTTGGCCACCAGAAGGACCAGGCTGGGATGGTAGGGCTGGCAGGCCAAGGCAGACATCAGAGCAGGCCAGGCCAGACTGGACCTTTCCTGACCACAAAGCCTGAGCTTACCCACTGCTCTGACAGTCCCTGCCAACGTCCTCAGGATCACCCTGCTGAGACTGCCCTTGGCTGGGACTTTGCGACCACTTACAAGCCTTCATAGGCCCCAGGCTCAGGGAAATCTAAGAGTCTGTGGTTCTGTAGCCTGAGCTGGTGGGCCAGCCCCCACCTTCTCCTGAGCTCCAGACTCATGGAGCAGCCACCGCCTCGCCTAGGGTTGCCCTCAGACTGTCCTCCTCTCTCACGCCCCAGTCTGGTTCTTCAGCAAATGGCTGGGTGGTTTTGGCCCATGCCCGCAAGCAGCTGTGCTAGCACCCCCCTCACACCTCCCTGCCCTCACCCTCTGTCTTCCCTCACCTGGACTCCATGCTGTCAATTTGCTGTCTGCCAAGCACCCCAATCCTGCTTGCCCCTCAGGGCCTTTGCACATGCTCCTCCCTCTGCCTCCTCATCCTTCCCCCGACGGCCTCAGAGCCTACGCCCTTGCATTCTTAGTACAGCCCTCCTTGACCACCATACTTACCATTCCAATCCCCAACACTCCCCATCCTCTTCCTTGCTTTTTCTCCACAACTTGCCATCCTTTCACATATATACAATTTACATATATGTACATGTAAATACATGTAAACATGCACATACACTTACATATGCAAATATTTGCAAATGTTTACATATGCAAATATATGTGCGTTTTTTTCTGCCTCTACCTCGAGAATGAAATTACCACAAGAGTATGACCATTTGCCTGTCTAAGTTGCTGCCTCCCCTTGAGCCTAGCACACAGTAGATCATCAGTAAATCTCTTTTTCTTGAGAGAGTCTCACTCTGTCACCTAGGCTGCAGTGTAGTGACACGCTCATGGCCACTGCGGCCTTGACCCACTGGGCTCAGGTGATCTTCCACCTCAGCCTTCCGAGTAGCTGGAACCACAGCCATGCACCACCATGCCAGGCTGATTTTTTGATTTATTGTAGAGACGAGGTCTCGTCATGTTGCTCAGGCTGGTCTGGAACCTCTGAGTTCAGGTAATCCTCTCGCCTTCACCTCCCAAAGTGCCAGGATTACAGATGCGAGCCACCGTGCCCAATTATCAGTAAATCTTCATTAAGGGAACTGATACGATTCTAACATTTTCATGTTTGGAGTCAGCTCAGCAAACCTTCAATCCTGCAGGCTCTGGCACCTGTCAGCACTGACACCCCCACCCCTAGCATCTACTGCCTCTCCCATCCTACCCTAAGCCTGTCCTGTCTCTTCACTACTACAGGCTGCACAGCTTCAGGAAGTAAGAATATGGAGGCTCTGCAGCCATGACCAGGAAGGTGAGGGCAGGTGGAGAGATGGGATGAGTCCCCTTGCCTGTGTGTCCTCTACTCTGATCCAGCCTGGGAGGACTGTAACCTGGAGCTGCCATGGAAACACAGGTGGGTGAGAACTCTCCCTCCCAGGTGCACCCCTGGGAGGGGTGGCAGAAGGAGCAGCCCTGGGCAAGGACCCTCTCAGCCTCCCTGTGCTCCAAGTGGGCCAAGGAGCCTTGTCTTTTGAGTACAGGGGGCACTCATCAAGAGGCACTCAGCTGAGAGTCCGGGGGCAACAGGTCAACCAAGCAACGAACAGACAGACTCACCTGCTGCATGATGTCTCGCTTCTGGTTCATGGCAGCCAGGTAGCGCAGAATCAGCTTTGTGGCCTCAGTTTTGCCGGAGCCGCTCTCACCACTGAACAAGCAAAGGGGCAGAGTGAGGTTCAGCTTTTTGCTGCCTCTTCTGGGGTGCCCCGACCCCACCATGAAACAAGGGGACATGTGTGGCGCATCAGCCAAGAGGTGGCAAGTGATTTGCTGGGGTCCCTCAGCAAGTCTGGCCAGATACAGACCTGCTGCCTGCGGTCCCTCCATTTCTCCCCCACATAAAGGCAGCCTGGCTCACCTGATGATTATGCACTGGTTCTGTTTGGCATCAAGCATTTTGGCGAAGGCGAGATTTGCGATTGCAAAGAGGTGCCTGGGGACACAGACCACTAGACGTCACTGGAGCTGGTGTCTGCCTGTGTCCCCAAACTTCCTAGGGATTCAGGAGGACATTTATGTCCAGCCAAACAGTCAATCCTGTCCACGCTTCACCCCATCAGGGACAAGCTCCCACCCCCACCCTGGCCTGATCTGCAGTGGCCTGGCCTGGAGAAAGATCGTTGGGCTGAGGAGGTGGGCCGCCCTTCCCCATCACCTCCCACCCATGGCTAGAGGGCAGCCAGGGCCTCTCCAAGCTCAGAGAGAGACCCAGGAAACCACCTCTGCCCCCAGCAGCCCCAGAGACACTCACGGAGGATTCTCTCCCAAGGCCCGCCCGCTGTATTGCTGCACCTGCTCTGGTCCATAGATTCCGAACATCCGGTACGGGTTCACTGACACCAGGATGCTGCCGATGTACGTCTGTCGGGCAGACGGTGGCCTCAGTGCTGTGGCTCCTTGCGGCCCCCCGAGGCCCTCCCTCCCCAGCTCTGAGAGCCTGGACCTGTTCCCCTTGGGACAGAGGTCTGGCTGCCTGGCTTTGGTATTCCCATCTAGAGCCCACTACCGGCTTGCTGAGTCATGTGGAATCTCCAGCACTGCATCAGGCTGAGATTGGGAGGAGTTTGGACTGAGTGAGCAAAGCCCCACAGCTGTGATCCTGCAAAGGCAGCCATGTGGGCTCCTGCCTACTTCATTTATTCAGCCAGGCCCAAGCTCCAGGAACTTCCGCCTCCTACTGAGGTCTAAACTTCACAGCCTGGGAGGGGGAGAAAGTCAGGAAGCCCAGGAAATCCTGAGGTGGCCAGAGCTCTGCCGGGTGTCCCTGCCTTCCATACTCTAGCTCTGGCTCTCTGTTGTCCTTCTGGAGCCAGGGGCTCCCTTCCACCCCTCTGGCCATCCCCTCTATGGAATCCAGGTCTATGGATTCTAGGACTCTGGAAGCTCTATCTGTCAGGTCCCCAGTGGGAGGTGGGGGTCACACATTTCTGGATTCCCTGTTTCCACGTCTCTGCATCTGGCATGCAGCATTCTAAGACTGTTTTAGGACATCTGGCATCCAGCATTCTAAGACTGTTTTAGGACACTAACATTCTATGCTGAAATGACGGAAACCCCAAAGTTTAAGCCAGAGCCACAGGTCTGGGGTTCAGCAGGAGAAATCTATCTTCCAGACCCCCAGGCAGGGCCAGTCCCAGGTCTTACGTAGATGAGGTTCCGTTCAAATCTAGTCTTGAGGTTGGACAGCACAGTGGTCTCCTGGAGGTCTCTGAAAGGACATGGAAGCCAGGCTCGGTGGCTCAGCCTGTAATCCCGCGCCTTTGGGAGGCTGAGGTGAG